TTTTTAAAGGAAAGAAAAGAAAGCAGATCCTGATGCAGCGGGCCTGTGTGTGACCAGAGATCCTGCATTTCCAACAAGTTCCCAGGTGTTATCCAGGCTGTTTCTCAGAGGACTGCAGTTTCTGTAGCAAAGAATTAGAGACTTTTTTTGGTTTTGGTTTTATTTCTTAGGAGTTGATGCTGGGGGTGAATCTTAAAAAAAAAATTTTTTTTTTCTAAAAATCAGTAGTGCCAGTAAAAAAGACAGCAGACATTGGAAAGAGGGCACTCCAAGGAGAGAATGGAAATACAGGTCTTTCCAGTAACATAAGAAGCATGGGAATGTGGAAGCCTGGAAGGTCACTTGAAGAGAGAAGTTTGGAATGAGAAAGAATATCAAGACATAAGGTTTTCCATGCCTTGCCAAGGAGTTATTTATCCTGTAGGTAATGAGGGACTCACGAAAGGATTTAAGAAGCTGTGAGTGATTTGATCAGCTATGAGATTCAGAAAGATTTTCCTGGAAACAATTACAGGATGGGTTGGGTGGGAGGATGATTGGAATCAGAAAGGTATTGTGATATACTTGGTGAGCTAGGAGCCAATGCAGCAACGGCAGCATAAACTGAGAAGTGAAGACAATGGAAGATGTCAGGATATGGAATTGACAAATCTTGGGCATTTATTAGCTAGAGAGAAAGAGGAAATGACGGTTTCTGCCAGGTTTCTGATTTAGGTGACATCACACTGTAAGTAATTCGGGAGAAAGAGAAGAGTTGATGGAAAAGAAAATCGCTGAGTTTGGGAATATGTTGAATCTGTGCAACATACAAATGGAAGTATTTATTAACAAAGCTGGAGTTACAAGAGAATGTTTGGGAACTGTCAGTGCATATTATGGTTGATAAAGTTATGGAGGTAGGTTCTGTCATTGGAGGAGAACAGCAGAGAGAAGAAAACAAAACAAGGATAAGATTGTCATGCAAATCAACATGAGGGGCAGGCAGAAGGAAAGAAACCCACTAGACAGACAGAAGAAATGATTAGATAGAGAGAAGCAGATCAAGAGGACTACTATTAGAAAAGCCTAGGGACAGGAGATTGTCTACAAGAAATGGATTAGTTGTGTCAAATGCAGTTAGAAGTCAAGTAAATAAGGACTGAAAATTAGGTACGGATGCTATTTGCCAGAGTAGTTTCAGTGGAATAAAATAGAGGAAAGCCAGATTGTAGTTAGTTAAAAATGAATGGAAAATAAGAAAACATAGATTATAACGTATTTTTCTAGCAGCTTGACTATAATGGGAAAATTTTAATAATTAGTAGCTAGAAATTACCCCAATATTGAGTGTTTTATTAGTAGCCAGAAATCACCCCAATATTGAGTGTTTCATTCCAATGACAGAACCTACGTCCATAACTTTATCAACCATAATATGCACTGACAGTTCCCAAACATTCTCTTGTAACTCCAGCTTTGTTAATAAATACTTCCATTTGTATGTTGCACAGATTCAACATATTCCCAAACTCAGCTATTTTCATAATTAGTAGCCAGAAATCACCCCAATATTGAGTGTTTCTTAAGCATACCTATGGCAGCTGAGGAGTGCATAAAGAAAAAAACATCTAAAAAATAGGTCAAGAGAATGACTACTATAACAATGCCCAGGAGAAGCAGCACAAATTCATTTGAGACTTGGTGGATTAAGGTGGAAGTGGACACCTGTGTAGATGAGCCACTCCAGATGTAGGCTTGGAGACCACATGCTTGCTAGCCCAAGTTTGTTCTGTGAAGGCAGGATCATTGGGGAGCATTAAAGGTGCAACTGCAGTTCTCTACACTGTGTGGGGCCTATTCTCAAACTAGGATGGTTTTCTTTAGCAGTACTTGAGCTTCTGCTCATATTTTCTTTGATATTTCCATGGACCTTGTTGTTGCTACTTCAAAAAAATAGAGGAGCATGTTTTTCATAAATAGAGTATCCTCTGATATTAGGATCTTTGGAATTCCAAATAGCAAGCTGGACTTCTTCCCTCTGCACTCCATTCATATGGTTTTGTAGTCATCCAGAGGAGATAGAAATAGGAAGATGGATTGTGTGTGTGCATGGACATATGTTGCACTCTTCAGAGGTGATGACATACATAAAAGCATCAAAGAAATCTTCCAAGGTTGCAGAATGAAAAATGTGAAATCTGCTACTTTTATTCATGCATAAATTTTACTGAGTACATACCTTCAAACTCTTTAATGCACATAGCTCTATGTGCCAACATTCTTGTGCTCATTTCACCTAAATAATCATGAGTCTTCAATTTCCTACTCTAGTTCTCAGCTGAACATCATTCAACAATGAACTTACTTAAAATAGTGGTTAATATGCTTTGTTGACTATCAGAGCAACAGGGCCCGGGCTTTGGTTTTAGGCTTCAATCTTTAAGACATTTCTGCTGAATTCTGGAGGTCAAATGCAAGTAAAAACACAAATCAACCAGTTCAAAATCCTGTGTGTGTGGTGGATTGCTTTTTTTTTTTTTTTTTTTTTTTTTTTTGGCGGGGGGTAGGGGAGAAGGAAAGGTGGGAGGGAAGGAAAGGAGTGAGCAGAAGATATACAATTTAGAAAATAAAAGTTCTTAATCTATTTTGAATTACATTAACTGGTAGAAAATATTATTTCAAAATTTTTGACGAATGGAAAAGCTCTGTAGTGATCAATCTCACTTTGACCACTTCAACTTGTATTTTATAATTAAATCCAAATATTCCCTTTAATAGTCTTCCATTTTCCCAGTTTCTATACAAACCACTTCTTAAAAGCTGAATATTGCACAATATAGCTCAATAAAGCTGGAAAGAAAACTAAACACTGCAGTTTTTAAATATACAGAGGATTTCAATTCCTTAGTTAGATGTCTCCATAATTTGCCTGGACTACATACTGTTAAACTGATCTGAGATCTAGGGATAAGGTGAAGGAGTCAGGTGCTCTAGAAACAGTTTAAAAGGGTTTGTGCAATGTTTTTGCCTCCAGGTCAATGTGATTCTCTTGACTGGCTCAAAAATAACCACGCCCAGCATTTTGAAGTACATTAGGAAATTCCAGAGAATGTCAAAGGGCATATAGACCCTATGTTACACAAAAAATGCTTTAAAGAGCAAAAGTATTATTTTTTAAATTCTCACCCAAGGATATTTTTCCCCAATGATTTCTAGAGTGAAAGGGAGAGAGGAGAGGGAGAAGGAGAGGGAGAGGGTAAAGGAGAGGGAAAGAAAGAGAGAGAGCAAGAGAGAGGGAGGGAGGGAAGGAATATATATATATAGAGAGAGAGAGAGACGTTGATGTGAGAGAGACACATTGATTAGTTGCCTCCTGAGAGAGAGAAAGAGAGAGAGAGAGAGAGAGAGAGAGAGAGAGAGAGAGAGAGAGAGAGATTGATTGATGTGGGAGAGACACATTGATTAGTTGCCTCCTGCATGCACTCCTACCGAGGCTAAGGAACCTGCAATGGACTTAGGTGCCCTTGCTGGGGATTGAACCCTCAGCCCTTCTCAGGCCAATGATATAACCATTGAGCAAAGCTGGCCAGAGTAAAACAAAAAATTATTTAATCTAGAACTTAAGGAAATCAAAAGTTGTTTGTATTAGTATATTTTCATATGCAAGTGAGAGACACCAAGTCAGAATGGTTTAAGGAAAAAGACGTGTTGGTGCAGGAGCTCAAAGTCTGCTGTCCGGACTTAGTCTTTCTCCATCTATTGGTTCTGCCCTTCTCTGTTGATTTTCTTGTCAACTTGATTTCCCTTTGCTTGGGCAGCACCACACTTAGCTCCTCCTATCTATCACCCTACCAACCCTCGAGAAAAAAGAAGAATCTAATCTTCCAGCATTTCCAACAAAATTCCTGGACTAATTGGTGGTAGATGATGTGGCTTTGGTCAAACTCCCACCCTCAGCCCTGGAGAAGACATGGTTGAAGGAAAACCTTTGCTATTTCTACAAAGAGAGGAATGACTCAAATGGCAGGCAGGTAAAAACAACAGACGCCCTAGCCCGCCTTTAAGTTATGTGGTAGGTTCTCATGTGGATAAGGGGATAAGCTTCTAGGAGGCCCTAGAAATGAACTTTACAGAGAAGCAGATTTCAGCTCAGTCCCAAAAGGACCCTTTCACAGTCTGAACCATTAGCAGTTGAAATAGGCTGCTTCAAGGTGTGCCAAGTACCAGGTACGCTGCACGTGTTCAGGCACAGGCATCTGTCAGTGGTGTTGAGCAGGGAATTCCTGCATTAGGCAGAGCTTTGCCTGCATGACCTGTAAGTTCTACAATTCTATTATCCTTGTTAATTTCCACAATTCAATTTGCAGCACAGGATAAACAAACCAACCTAATTTGATCTGGAAATTCTGCAGGCTATCACAGGTCATTTAATCTAAAACACATGGCTCCAGCCATTACTATGTTTTCTGAAGTCATCTAACAGACGTGGTCCTTAACAATGTCTCCATGTTATTAGTTTCACTTATGGCTTTTTCCAGCCTCCTGCTTATTACACAATTGCCTTTCATTCTTAAGATTGGGTGGGGAGAAGCATGAAAGACTTTTCTTCTTTCTGCCTTTTTCCCTTTTAAACCTTATAATAGGCGAGTCCCAGTTAAAATTACATTGCTTACATCTTTACCTTCAAATTTGGCTTTCACTTTGCAGGTTTAAGAATCTAAAAGAAATGGGAGCAGGGGCCTTGGGTAATTATAGGTCTGGACAAAGTTTATTGAGGCAAATTTTCAGAGAAGAAAGACAGATTTTTAAATTTGATATTCAATTGTAAAGATAATTTAAGAAACTGCAATGTTGTTAAAATTAGAACACCAAGCCACTTGACCCATACTCATGAAGAAATAAACATGTTTGTGTTAAATAGTATTTGTTTCTTTCATAACTAAAAGCACCCCACAAATAAAATTTTGTTTTGCCAGAGTATGACCATTCTGAATAACTGGTTTTTTTCTTGTCTTTTTCAGTGAATGTTGTGTCAATGTTGCAGGAATTTTGGGAAAGCAAGCAGCAGCAGAGGGCTGCATTCCCCAGTGAAGGTGTGGTGGTGTACGAGTCGCTGCCATCTCCTGGGCCTCCCTTTGTGAGTTACGTGACCCTTCCAGGGGGAAGCTGTTTTGGCAACTTTCAGGTAAGAAGCAACCACACGTTGGTCAGTGAAAGTTTAAATAGAGTAAGCCCTTTAATAAAATGGTAACATTATAAGTTTTCTTGGTTGCAATGAAAAAAGTTGTGTCATATTCCATTATATATATGAATAAATTGGTCAGATATTTCAATTTTTTAAACTGGAAATATTTTACATTAGGGTGTCCCCTAATAATTCTTTATGGAAATTGAGTTTTACATCATTTTATTCGCCTGATAGTTGCTGCCTTTTTCCCAGAAAATATTTTGGAATATACCATAAAGAACAAAGGAACTTTGGTAAAGTCCTTCCATCATGACCTTTCTACCAGTAGATAGTTTCCAGTTTCCTGAATTTTGTAATCAAGTACTAATCAATCTACTACATGCCAAAGCATGAACCAACAGCAAAGATTAAGATTTACAAGGCTGGGTGGGCTCAAGCACTTGTGCTAAGTTCAAATTCTACCTCTAAATAACTGTTAGCCCTTGGGAGATTGATTTAACTCCTTGATCTCCTCAACTTTTGAGATGAGGAACAATACCAACAGCATTGGTCAGGAGTCATGAGATATACATGCAATTTGTTTATTTAGTACTAGAGGCCTGGTGAATGAAAATTCATGCACTGCACGGGAAATCCCTCAGCCTGTCTCCTCTCACAGTCTGGGAGCCCTCAGGAGCAAGAGGCAACTGGGCAATCAGGGGAAGGTGACATCCCCAATCACACCTTTGCTGCTGCCACTGCCTGCAGCACAAGCCTCAGCCAGTCCTTGTTACTTGAGCCTTGGGAGACCCTGGGTGGCTGGGTAGCTGCCATCTGATGCTTGCTTGCACCTTGGGCTGGCCCTGGGCAGCTGGGGGGCTGAAGGAACTGAGGGACTCTGGAGACAGGTGCATAGAGTGGCCAGACTCACCTGGGGACAGGCCCAGCCATGCTGTGCATCTGATGCCCAGGCAGGGCTGAGAGAACTGGGTGCCACCATCTTGTGATTGTGGGCACCACCATTTTTGAGAGTGTGGCAGTCAATTAGCATATTCCCTCCTTATTGGCTGTGGGTACCACCATCTTTGTGAGGGCATGATGGTCAATTAGCATATTTCCTCCTTATTAGATAGGATTCCAACAATTGTTTTGATAATTATTATAAAGATTTCAGGTGGTTAAATCTTCATGATGTTTATGAGGGGTGTAAATGATGATTTCTAGTTGTACACCTACTCACACAAAAACATTGGCCTAATAAACATCTGGTTATCAAATGTGTGTAGCAAATACTCACTGAGTGACTAGGAAGCATCCAGCATCAGGCCAAGTAATGAGGATATGTGGTTCACACCTTGAGGGAATATTATAGTAACTACATAGAATTGTATTTGAGGATCAACAAAAGCATAAAGGAAGGAACATCTCAGTTGACCAGTCACCTTTATAAATGCTTTTTTAGTACAGTAAGCTCTCTCTCAATTTGCAGTAACTGGCAAAATGCCTTATATATAGTTTGTGGTAAATGTGAAACTCATAAACATTTAAGTCTCCCTATTACCTTAGACAAGCAGGAAGCCCAGAGCCAATTTTTCAGTGTATATCTTGGTTTTGTGAGTTGACAGAACTTAATGTCATGTAATACTTAATAGTATTTATATTTCTACCTCTAATCTTCCTTTGAACTTAGTATGTCTCACTTATTTTATCCTATTACCATGTATCTGTTTTATGTTATTTTACCTATTTTGTGGGAGAATTTAGTTTAAATAAATAGACCCACAAACCTGACACGTATGGGGAAGCCAAAGAAGGGTTTATGTGGCATGCAATCATAAACCGAGATCTGCAGTTGAGGGTGTTTTTGCCAGTAGGTAAAGGAGAGATGACATCCTTGGCACAGAGGATGGTGAATGCAAACACATGGAGCAACAAAAACCACGAGCACTTTCAGAATTTGGGGAGTTTCTCTATGTCTGTGGCAGGGAGGTGGTGGGAGATGATGGTCAGATACCCATATCAAACCGTAAGGGATCTTCATGCTTTGTAAAGGACAACAGGTTTTATTCTATGTAAAATCAGCACCACTCAAGGATTCTGCACAGGAGAATGGTATATTGAAATGTGTTTCAGAAAGTATTCTGGCAGTAGTAAGAGGTAATTTTAAGGCTAATTTAAAAACTGCTGACCCAGCTAGTCAGTGAGGTCCTGCCTTCTACCTTGAGCAATGGCCACCAGTGGATTTTGACCTCTGACCAATGAAAGTGAATTGCCTGATGAGAATGATTTGAAAGTGGGTCTAGAAGCCTCAGAATAGAGCCTGATGTAACCCCAGACATTTAGAGAAGAATGAAGGGCAGGGAAGGGGAAAGAAAGCCACTGCAGAGGGATTCCCTAACCCATGTGACCCTGCAGTATCATCATCAAAGGTCCTAAGGTGAACCCTGCCCACAGTAAAGTAAGTAACAGTAAAGTAATACTCTCCCATCAGGCTTCCTGTTTCAAGGGAGATCACCTTGGGAAACAGACCTACTCACTATAGAGCGGTGAGAGCCACTTAAACAAACCTATTTTTTTATCCATAGACTAAAGATCACCAAACATCTGAGGAAAGCTAAAAGCATAAGAGAAAAGTTCAAGGCAAGCAAACAAAAGAACAGAAATATTTCAAGTAGTGAAGGACATAAAGTTTCACAATGAGTATCCTCAAAAAAATTGTGAGATGATATTTATTCCTAAAATATCCTTTATAATAAAAGGCTAATATGCAAATTGTCCCTCCGGGAGTTCAACCACTCACTATTACGTGTGCTGACCACCAGGGGGCAGTGTGGAACAAAGGAAGGAAGGAAGGAAGGCCCTGGCCAGCAGCCGGAAGGCCCTAATCAGCCCTCATTGCTGGCCAGGCCTAGGGACCCTACTCACGTACAAATTTCATGCACTGGGCCTCTAGTCTATGATAAAAGAAGTAGGGAAGAGGAAATTTAAAATATGACTGCCAAATTAGAATAATAAATAAAGAGGAGTAAGTAGATGAGTGGACATAGATAACAGCCAAATTAGTAAAAAATAAAAAAATAAGTAAATAGTAAAGTAAGTTTTCTAGAACTTAGAGCACAAGACAAGAGATTTAAAAAGATAGTACCAAAGATAGGGGGATAAATCTGGAGGTAAACATCTTACATAAAAAAAAGCTAATATGCTAATTAGACCAATCAGCAGTTCGACCAACTGTCTGTCCTATTGAAGCCAGAGCTGTGAGGGCTGGTCTAGCGGAGGCAGCTGGGGCTGCAAGGGATGAGCCCTTTGCATGATTTTTGTGCATCATACTTCTAGGTAATTTAATAATAGTTCTAGAAAGAGTAAAAGGAAATAGATAGGTAAAAATGAATAATGGAAACAATTTTCTTTGAGTTAAAGAAAAGCACAGATTTTTATTTTGAAATAGCCAATCACATTCCAAGCAGAACTACGACAAAAGAATCACTTACTGGTAGCTCTGTGACTATGTAAGACTGAAGGCCAGCATTCTGCTTAAAAGATGGGTATTAGCCGAAAGCGGTTTGGCTCAGTGGATAGAGCGTTGGCCTGTGGACCAAAAGGTCCCAAGTTTGATTCTGGTCAAGGGCATGTACTTTGGTTGCAGGCACATCGCCCGGTGGGGGGGGTGCAGGAGGCAGCTGGTCGATGTATCTCTCTCATCGATGTTTCTAGCTCTTTATCTCTCTCCCTTCCTCTCAATAAAATATATTTATTAAACAAAAGAAAAAAAGATGGGTACTAGAAGCCCGATGCACAAAGATTCGTGCTAGAATGGGCTTTCCTTTCCCTGGCTGCCAGCACCGCCTTTCCATTCTGGCCCAGCCCCTTTACACTCAGGCCCTGGAGCCACTCTTTCCACTCAGACCCTGCCTTCCCATGCTGCCCAGAGATCCTGAGAGACAGGAGTGGGGCACAATGTGTTGTCGTCATGGTGACAATGCAAGCATCCCGCCCCTGTCACATGACGCCAATGTATGCAAGTTAACCTCAATCTTTGTTGGGTTAATTTGCATATCACTCCTGATTGGCTGGTGTTGTAGTGGAGGTACAGTCAATTTACATGTTTGTCTATTATTAGGTAAGATGACATTTGTGCATTGATATAACCATGTGTTTGTTTTAATATAGACTAAATATATATGGAGGGTAGCTTTGGTAGAGATGATGAAGTAGGGCAAAAACTGACAAACCAGGCCAATAAAACCAAAACTATTTGAAAAGATAAAGAAAGAAAATAAATCTTTGGCATTTCTGAGTAAGAAGAAACCCCAACACATATACTATACTAAACATGAGAAAAGGGATGCAATTATAGGAACATAATATAAGAATACTACATAAACAATTATATTTTTAAACATGAAAACTTAGATGATATTGAAATATCTTGGGAACTCTGTATTATCTTTGAAACTCTTCTGTAAATCAAATTTTATTTCAAACTAAAAAGTTTTTATTTTAAAAAGACTTTTTCAATAGTTCCCTATTACCTTCTTATTATAGACTAAATTTTTTAATCTGTCAATAAAGACAATATGATTGTCCCTAACATTTTTTTCCAGCCTTATCTCCCTGAATTCCTCTCCTGACACTCAGTGATTCATTCTAACAGTTCCTCATTCTTGCCTTGACCTCTGCTAGCCTCTTACACACTCACACTGTGACCTGCTTGTGAGAGCTGTTGCCATCTTCTCTTCATGTCAAAACCCTGTCCAACTTCCCAGACTCCACTCAAATGCCACATTCTTCATGAATTTTCCCTAAACTCCCTGCTAGATTTCTCTACTTCCTCTGATTTCCCAAAGCAGTTATATCAGTTTATCTTCTAATATTTTATGGGTTTGTTTTTACCTTAGGCTACAGCTACTTATGTGTGCATTCCATCTCTATCACAAAATGTAAGTGCCTTGGGGACAGGGTCTGTATTCTTATCTCTCTAAGATGCTAAGCACTGTACTTTGTATATAATAAGTGCC